CTTAACCACGGCCCCTCTAGAACTGTATAAAAGAGGGGCCAGCAACATCCAAGCAAACAGTAAACTGATTATTGCAAACTGATTGAACGTAAGCAGTGCCTACAGCAACCAACCCCCACCCCCACCCCCCACACACACACACACACACACACACACACACACACACACACACACACACACAGACCAAGGGAGAAAATGGATGCTAAGAAATTGGGGAGTGAAGGGGAATTTCATATTGTGCAAATTTTTATTGTGATTTATGAACAAAATTATGACAAGAAGGAAGAAAGAAGAAATGAAAAAGAGAAAGGGAAGGAAAATATGCATAGTTCCTGGTTCATAAAAGATAGTAGATAAATAGCAACTAATTTTAGCATAATTCGAAGGTTAGTGAAGGCAAAAATTGTTGCTTAAATGTCAATATGCCGGTATTGGGAGAGGGAGGTACAGAGCAAGGAACGGTCACAGTTTGCACCTGTGACAAGAATCACATGACACACTGAGGGGATGAGAGTTTCTCAGTGGCTCAGAGAGAAAAACTGGCAAGAGAATCAAGTCATCACACAGCAGGTGGTTGAGGTATCAGTGAGTCAATTCTAGCATGTCTCACCACTGAGAAGTATCATCAGGCTGCTAGCGGGGACCTTACATGAAATGCGCCTTTGTACATAGCTACTTGCCACAGTTGATGAGCACCAAGCATGGTAATCAATATGAAGTGAAGAAATATTCTTTCTACAATGCCTGATGTTCACTTTACCTTCAAGTGAATGAGCCAGTTCTACAGTTATCAACTGATGGCCTTTCAAATTGGTGTTCACAGGCTGTTTGCTGGCAGTCATGATTAACTATGAGGCTGGTTGTCCTAAACTAGCAAGCATATGTAAATGCCGTTTTGTACAGGTACATGTAATTAAGCTTCTCAGTATGAGCATTATCAAAATCAAATCAAATCAAAGAGTCTAAATAAATACTGGAACGCGAGAGTAATGAACATACTAACAAAAATAGATAACTCTGGAGCAGACTATGTACAAGGTGTGGCTCTGGTTTTTATGTGGATGATCTTGTTTAAGAAACTGTTTCTTGGGCCGGCCGAGTGGCGCGATGGTTAAGAACTCGCTTGGGATGCCAGCGGGCCCCGGTTCGGATCCCACATATGAGGGCCAGTGACACTGCCCTC